TAATAAGGAGCAACATGTGCATGTGAGAAGCATCCTGCTCTTTTAATGGCTATCTGTATCAATGGACCCAATGAAGCGGCCAATGGCTAAAAGTAGGCGAATGTACCTCACACTGTACCATAGCACCAACTGTTAATAAGTATAGCAGAAACTTTATAAAAGGGTTATTATCCAAACACAAAATTTTAATTACATTCATATCAATCTTTTAAATTCGTTTCTTGGTTCCGAGCGAGGGTAAATAAGTCATTTCACACAATATGATCGTGTTACTTGCTTGTCTTGAAGTACTTCTATGAGGGAAGAATACTCTAGACCAATACGGGCCTTTTAGGATATTTTGTCCTTCAGAGTTCATATGAGGAAAAAAATGCATTTTGTTGGTATAGGTAGTACTTTTCAATATTTTTTAACCATTTCTCGTGCATCTCTTGTGACCATTTCTCGTGCATCTCTTGTGACGTAATCACGAATCATTTCACGAGAGAACGTTGTTCTAAGAGGGATGATACCTGTTGGTACCGGATTCAATAGATTGCACCATAGAAACCAAGCTTTTGAGTGCCAAAACCATTTCTCATGCATCTCTTATGACATGATCACGAATCATTTCACGAGATAACGTTGTTCCAAGAGGGATGATACTTGTTGGTACCGGATTCAATAGATTGCACCATTACAACCACGCTTTTGAGTGCCAAAATCATTTCTCGTGCATCTCTTATGACGTGATCACAAATAATTTCACAAAAGTGATACTCGTTGGCACCATTGCAAAAGTGAAGACACAAGCATACTTTAGTATGCTTAATTTTAGAGTTCTTAGAATTTTAGTAAATCTTTTTTTTGATATAGATAATAATCATATAACTTTTTCATAACTTCTTTTGGATCTAACAATCAATTTTAGAAGTATTAGACGGATATATTATGAATTTGATGGTCTTCGTTCAAAATATAGTGCGAATTCATCATAACATAAACAAGAAAATGGTGATAGAACAGTTCAATTTGTATTACATAAACTTCTGGTGAAAAGATCACCATTCCAACACCACTCATTACACAACCAAAGGCAATGTGATTGGATTCCATCAACATTCTAACATCAATCAGAATGCAAAAAAAGCAACAACGACGGATCTCCAAAAAAAAAAGCCAATGGAAAAAAATCGAGAATCAACCTAGTTCTTCATGAACTTAAGAGGATTGCAATCTAGAAGTGAGATCGACAAACGCATCTTCTCCGCAAGGAATCGTCAAACCACCTTCTGGATGATCAAATCCAAACTCTTCCTCTGCTCGACTGAGAAGCTGTTGAAACGAAAAATGATTCAAATACGAAATCGGAATCACAAATCGCTTCCTCTCGAACTCTCCAACGTAAACGGCAACGTGACCTTTCGGAACAGCCGACGGATTTCCCGAGCTCCTCCTTAGCAATTGCTTGGCCTGAGGGATCAAAGACGATGGAAGACGAAACCCCATACCTGAGCGGATTAAGGAGAAAAAAAAAAATGGAGTGTGGCTTCGATTGATCGAAGAAAAAATCGAAAATGGAAGAATGAACGTGAGATGAGAGCTTGATTTGGACTTCGATGGAGTTAGGGTTTGAATTTATAGGGATTTCTGGAGGGAAAGAAGACGAGTTGCGGACCGGTAGTTGGCCATTGAAGGGCCCACCAAATGAAGAAATTAATGAAAGGGATTGGTATGTAGCTAATATATTATTAATTGAATGTACGTCCCATTATTTTATTATTAATTGATTTAATATTTGATACGACACACCGTGTTGGGACTTAGGATAGGCTGTCAACTCGATCGAAATAATTTTTTAAATAAAAGATATTGTTCGTGAAGAAATTATCAAACTTACTTTTGTCACGGTCAAAATTACTGTAAATTATGTTTTATATCACTCGGAAATCATTTAATGTTTGATTTTATAATCGATTTTGATCGTGACATGAATGATTTTAATCCTTTCGAAATCGCTCTTGAATATGTCTCGGACTCGAGTTTAATTCAAAGTTTAGGTTAGGTTGGAAGGTGTGGCGTGTGTTGTTATGGGGAAGTACAATGAATTTTATAATTAAAATTAGTTAGAAATTATTGTTATTAATATATTGTGTTAGGACTTGGGATAGGCTGTCAACTCGATTTAAATAATTTTTCGAATCAAATGTATCGGATGGTGAGATCCCACCTCGGTTGAAGAGGAGAACGAAACATTCTTTATAAGAGTGTGGAGAAACTTCTATTTTAAAACTGCGAGGCTAGATAATATCTGCTAGCATTGGCTTGGGCTGTTACAAATAGTGTATGTCAGCGGGTAGATTGTGAGATCCCACGCCGATTGGAGAGAAGAATAAAGCTTTCCGTTTAAGGAGACCTCTCTCTAACAAGAGGCTAACGACGATACGTGACGGGCCAAAACGGACAATATTTGCTAGCAGTGGGCAGTGAAGGACAATAGTTGCTAGTAGTGGGCAGTGAAGGACAATATCTACTCTCTAACAATTGGCTGACGACGCTACGTGACGGGCCAAAGCGAACAATATCTGCTAGTAGTGGGCAGCGAAGGATAATATCTATTAGTAGTGGGCAGTGAAGGACAATATCGGCTAATAGTGGGCAACGAAGGACAATATCTACTAGTCGTGGGTAGTGAAGGACAATATCTGTTAGTATTGCTAGTAGTCGACGATACGTGACGGGCCAAAACAGACAATAGCTACTAGTAGTGGGAAGTGAAGGACAATATCTGCTAGTATTGCTAGTAGTCGATGATACGTGACGGACCAAAACATACAATATTTATTAGTAGTGGACAGTGAAGAACAATATCTGCTAATAGTGGGCAGTGAGGGACGATATCTGCTAGTATTGCTAGTAGTCAACGATATGTGATAGGTCAAAACAGACAATATCTGTTAGTAGTGGACAGTGAAGAACAATATCTACTAGTACTGTTAGTAGCTAGTAGTGGGCAGTGAAAGACAATATTGCTAATGGTGGAGTGAAGGGAAGTGAAGGCCGTGTTTATATATATTAAAAAAAATAATTAAGTTACTGTTTTTATGTACTATTTTTTTATAATTATTGAAAAATATGTTTTTTTAAATTTTAAATTTTAAATTTTTTAATTTTTTAATTTTTTAATTTTTTTTGCAAGGGTAGATTATTGCACATGGCATGATTATATATATTTTTTATTTAAAAAAATCCAAACTTTGAAGGATGAAGAAAACTATGATATATGCATTAGCTAAGCTATGAATAAATAATTATTTTTAATACTAATAATTATTAGTTAATGGGAATATTTTTAAACTATTTCAGTATTAATGGCAATGTTAACCATATGCATTGAATCATGAATGTGAACCAATCATATGCCTTCATTATTAAATAAACATATAATTTGATTATTCAACTTTAATACTTAATCTATAATATAATTTCAAGATAATGTAACATTTATAAGTTTTTTTTTTAAGCTATGGTCAAATCTTATATTAAATTTTTTCAAAATTTTGTTGACTTAGACATAGTTCAAATCGTTAAATATTATACATTTGTCTAAATGTCACGCATATGACATTATATTGCTACAGTTGTGCTTTTTAAACCATGCAACTTCGTGATTTTGACACGATCATGACTGTAACAGCCAAAATCCACTACTAGCAGATATTATCCGCTTTGACCTGTTACATAGTTCTATCAGCCTCACGATTTTAAAATGCGTCTACTAGGGGGAGGTTTCTACGTAAGGAATACTTCATTCCTCTCTCCAATCGATATGGGATCTCACAATCCATTCCTTAAGACCCAACATCCTCAATGACACCACCTCACCTCTCCCGTGTCTAGCTCTGATACCATTTGTAATAGCCCAAGCCCACTGCTAGCAAATATTGTCCGTTTTGGCTTATTACGTATCGTCGTTAGTCTCATAGTTTTAAAACGCATCTATTAGAGAGAGATTTTCACATAAAAAATGTTTTGTTTCCGTCTCTAACCAATATATCTCATATGACCGGAAATTCAAGGCCATTATGTTTTTTTTTTTTTTTAATTTTAGTACATTCAAACATTAATTTTTTTTTATTTACTTTATAGAAATATATATATATTCAATTTATTTATTTTTTTCTTTTCTATTCGTAATTTTTAATTTCTAAAAAGACGGTGGAGGATGAGACATTAAATAATTAAACTATTTTATTTTTTATTTTCTGTTTTAAATTTAAAAAATTATGGTTGACCAATTTAGTTTTTTTTTTTTTTCAAAATGGGATTTTAACGCGTCAATGGTGGTCTCCCCATTATTTTCCATTTTTATATTTGAAAATAAGATAATTAAAATAGAATATTCGACCAAAAACTGTATTTTGTGTTATATAAAAATCTATTAAAGTTTCGTATAAATAAATTATATTTTTGTTAAGTTATTAGTTTAACAATTTTGTATTACTATTGGCTAAAGTTTTATTAAGATAAATTATTAAAATAATTTTAACTAATTAAATTTTATTTTATCTTTTAAGTATAATAATATGCATTAGATTTTTAATGTTATTTAATAATCAACATAAATAAATACTTTTAATAAAACTACATAAATTTTAATTGTAAATAATCATTACATAATAATTAATAAACATATTATATTTTAAAAATAAATATTATCGAGAGAACAAAAATAATAATAATTTTTTTTAGAAATAATATAATTTCAATTACTCTAACGTTAACTACTCCGGTCTAATAATTATATGAATTCATTATCTATATATTTAAAAAATAATAATTTAAATATTTTAAAAATAATTTAAACCGAGTAAAGATAAAAGATATCTAGATATTTTAAAAACACATATTTAGATATTTTAAAAATAAATCGTCCCGTCTTGATCTAATAAATTTTGATATCAAAAAAATCATAAACAACATAATAATAAATGGTGTTATCTAATATCTATTAGGTATACAAATTATCGTATAATCCAAAGCCGAACAGCTAAATCTCGAGCTAGGTAGCAAAATCATACACCATATGCGTTCAAATTTGATTATTTCAAGATACCTGTACTCTGCAGAAACAAGCTCACATGCTACAATATGATCTACACAGTTCGAATTCATCATCAATTTGTACGTCGAACATCGCCGCGTCGCCGTTGTCTCCCAGATGCGACATGACATTGATCATCCATAACTTCCTGCCTCATTTCTAGACTGTAACGATCTATCCGAAGTAAAGGTATACAAAAGTTTGTACAGCGATTGTAATTTTTGAAATCGAGAACCGATTCGTACTTTCCCATGTATTAATGTCTGAGACTTGATGGATACCGAATACACAAACGCTATATTGAATTACAATTTACGTCTCAGTTTTCTGTTCTGATACGTTGGGAATCATTATCTGCTTCTTGCAAGAGGGGAAAAATGTGTTGCTCCGATGAAGGACATTGAGTAAGTTTTACTTTGCTGATCGGTATTGTAAAATGATTGATTTCTTGATTGGATGTGGTTGATAGCGAATTTGTATTGCATGTTTTTTTTTGGTGAAAAGAACTAGGTTAAGATTTCTTGATTGGATGTAGTTGAATCTATTTCGGGCAGCTACCATACCAGATGGTATGGCTGGAATCTGGAGTGTTTTTGTGAGGGGAATATGTTGGATAAACACTTTGATAGTGATGGAATTCTTGCAGGAGAAGAGAGTTGTGTCTGTCACAACAGTGACAAACTCCTTATTTGATGCAGATCGATTTGATTTTCCCCACACAATTGTGTGGGGGTCTTGCAGATTTGTAGCGTAAAAAGGAAAGAAAGAAAGAAAACTTGGTTGGTTATGTTGAATTAGATAGAATGTAGGCACACAAAGAGAGAGTCATTTACATTTTACTTTCAATACGATGGAACCTATACTCTGATTTCTATAATTTTTCTAATTAGGGACAAAACTTTTCATTGAAGAAATGAAAGAGATTAAAGCTGAACTCCACAAGAGAGTGAAAGAAAAAGCAATAAAACCAATAAAACAATGATAAAAGTTACTAGGAGTAATAAAAACATTTGAATTGAAACATATATCCTGTAAAGAGAACCTATCAAAATGCTCTGAAAGAAAACTCCATAATGAAGCTTTTAAACAATTCGATTCAAATTGATCAATCTGAAAGAGATGTTTGCTTTAGAAATTAGAAATGAAAAACTAAAGTTGGAAAAACTGTGGTGAGAGGTTGATCTTTTCTCTCCATCTCTCACGATGTATGCAACCTAGAAGTTAGATCATTAAAAGGATCTTCTCTGTAGGGAATTGGCAGACCACCCGTTGGATGGAAGAATCCAAACTCTTCCTCAGACCTTTGTAGTAAGTTAATAAATGAAGGGTGGTTCTAGTAAGTAACTGGAACCGCAGATCTCTGTCTGGATTTCCACCCC